TTGTTGTTTTTGTAGATATTGTTGTAGCTTATTATCCTTAATTAGTGTAACGAGCTGCAAATTAATACACTTTGCTTAATTAAAATTGACAATGGCGAATGCGGCGCAATAGTAGAGGTTGTGCAATTGAAATTATTATGTTTGTATTTATATAAGTAAATGGTGTTTTTGTTTTTTTTTTTGTATGTATTCTTGCGCTTCTTCTTAGCCAATTAAGCCATTTTTGGTCTGTAGTTAATGAAAGTAATTTATTTTCATATACATAGGGGAATTTTAATTTATTAGTATTTATGTATTTGTTTTTTTTTACACATTTAACTTTCATCGACACTGTGCATCACGAGCTATTTATGTTCACAACTGTTTCACATTTATTCGGTAATTATACAATTTATTCATTAATTATAATCGATTGTGATTAACATGCAAAAAAAACTTACATAGGCTCCAATATTATTCACGAGCGCTTGCTTTTTGTGCGCGTTTTTATGTCGACAAGTACGTTTTTTGCTTTTGCTTTTATTTGTACATATTTTAATTTTTTTCGTTTTTAATTTTATTCACAATCGTTGCTATTGTATTTAAATAATAATTCGCACACTTGTTATTAATATTGAAGTGCGCTTTAATTGCCGTTTTATGCTGTTGCGTATTTTCACTAATGTTTTCATTTATTTTAATTTCCAGCCAATAATTGTCGGCTGAATTTCAACTCTCGTTCTTCTTCTTCTTCACTCAAGTGTTGTTTGCCTAATTTTGCATTTTTGCTGCTTGCTTATTTCAAACTCAAATTCACATTAACGAACGTTGCTCATACGCCCAGGCGTACCTGAAGAACTTTAGCACTGCGGGTCACTGTTGCTATTTCTGATGAATAACTAAATAAATCTCTTTCAATTTTGTATCAAACCACGCTGTTAATTTTCACATTTAACACTGTTTTCAAATCACTTCTTCCTCTAAATATTCCTCAACTTTTCGTTGACTTCACTCTAACACTAAACTTTTTGAGCGTATTTCCTTTTTTTTTGCTTGCCGCTTGCTGTTTTTTTTTTAAATTAATTCTTTTGGCTCTGGCGATAATACGGCTTGTCACTTTCATTAATTGCGCGGCTCTTACTTCATGGTTGGACGTTAGCCGGTCCGATATCAAAGGCGCTGGTTAAGCTGCAATTAAGATGACTAGATTAATAAATTTGTTTTTCTTTATAAAAGCTTAACATACATATATATGTACATTGAATGCTTTCTATTTGTGTTCTTGTTTTTTTTTTGTTGCTACCACAAAGGCGACAGCTGCCATTACGTTTTCACCGAAAAAGCTGTCGATGAATTTTTTTGTTTGCCGCCACTTTAATTTTCGTTTTTAAAAATTGTTCAATAATTTTTACTTTGTAACTCTATTTTATTATGTACATATGTATTTAATTAGGTACTTAATTTTTCAATTGTCCGCTGCAAATCGAAATTAACAGTTAACGCGTTGAGTGACAAATTTGAAAAACGTGCCAACGAGCGGCGGCAAATTCAACGTTGCTAATGAGTGTTGAGCGCAGAGTGTTTTGCTTGAGTTAGTGAGTCGTTTGTGCTGTCGTGCGTTGAGTGTTGTTGTTGAATGCGCGGCTGATATGTGGACGTTCAAAGTGGCGCGCACGCGTCAGATCGGCACAAAAGTAAATAAAAACTGTCAGGCCTATCATCAATTCACACTAACTATGAATGCATCAGAATTTCTGATAGCCGAATTCGTGACGGGAGATTTTTTTCACGACGGCAGTTTACTCGGAATCTGTGATAGGCCTGTGTATTACTATTTTAGGTTTAAACCGTTTGAAGTAACCAATAGATAATTATTCACATCTACTTTCCTTCATAGGCATAAGTTAGATAATATTTGAGATATATTTGAGAAAATAGGGCCCAACAGTTGACACTATAGTATAGATCAGTGGCTGGCATACTAACGCATTCAAACGATTCAATAAGTGGGAATGTGTGCGTTCAATGAACAGCTCAGTTGCCGCTCTTCGTATATGTATGTGTGAAACACGCTCAGTGAGCTATGGCCTGCCGACCACTGGTCTAGATACTCTAAAACATCGTTCTAATGATCAAATTTTCTTCGAATTCGCAACATACATTAGTTAGGTGATAGGAAAGTTCGCCGTACATTCTTGAATCGGAAGTGTTTTTTACAAGGCAATTTCGGAAAAAAAGTATCATTTTGCCGAACGTAGCGGTCGGTGTTCTTGTCTGGAAGGGAACAGTATGACCAAAAATTATTAAACTTTTGCTAAGGAATTTCGAACATTATGATAGAACTATTTAAAAAAAATCCCAAAATAGCAACACCTAGGCCCGCCCAAAAAAAATTTTTTTCCGGAATTTCGGTGTATGGTGAAATTTTTTTGTTTGCTTTTAGGGTGGTATCCACGGTACCTTAGGGTGCATTATAAAAAATAAGTTGCGAGTTTTCCACCGGAATTATAAGATTTATTATATTCTAAGACTTTCGCTGAAATATTAAAAAAAAACTATTAAAATTTACGTGAGCTAGACCGATTTGTAAATACCTCATTATTTTTAATGCGTTGATCCAACTTTTAAAAATTTGTATATAGATCTTTTAAGCTTAACCTCTTCTGTCATCTTCGTTGATGTTTAGAGCAAAAAAAAAACTAATTTTATTTATAGAAAAATCATGGCTGCAGTTGTGTATGCCAGCCATTCTACCTTACTGAGCGTCTTGAACACTCTCCGAAGATATGTAGTTTTACCAAACCATATGATTGCTCAATAAGTTACCATGGGCTGTACTATCGCCACCTACATACGTACATCCATCTAAGTAGTTCTGGGGCTCTGATCCCAACTTTTCCCTGCTATGAAACAAAAATTCTCTGCAGCAGAGGCACTTGAAATCATCACCCCAAGAGATTTATAACTCTCTCTTTCTGTATATCGTGAAGTGCCTCAACGACTGCTTAATCTCAGCCAGTTCAGCCGGGATAGTGCGGGAACTAACACCGGATACCTAACACAACAGGACACTGCAAAATAAAGTTAGCTTTATACAGCTTGGGATATGGTTATTGTTTCCAACCGCAATATGGAACACAACACCATCCGAAGTGCTTAACTTTATACATAAATAATCTAAACTTTCGGTGTATTTTAAAGCTGTAGCTGAATAGATCTAGCTAGAACGCAATGCTGCTACATTAACAACAATAATGGTAATAAAGCTTTGTCCGCTGTTTCTTCCACGCTTATGCTCCAGAGTAGTTTTTGGTCTAGTAAGACCCCTAGAAACACACAGAAAATCCAAAGGCCAAAAACTGAAACCATTTCCTGCAAAACTCAATGTATAAAACACTTGTATACAAACAATCAGCCACAACAAAAATCACGGAAAAATTTTGATAAACAAAATATGTCACCAAGGTTATCAATAAGCACAAAAAAGTATGAATAATCACATAAAAGCGCGCACAATTTGAAATACACCGTCAATTGGCCGAAAAATTACCCTTTTTTGTAATTTTATTTTTATAAATAAATAACACACAGCAGCTCAAAGCTCGAATGATTAAATTAATGCGACACCGTATGCCGCTTGAGCGCCATATTCACGCCTTAAGTGCATACATACATACATTAAAAAAATACGAAAAAACTACAAACAACGAAGAAAAAAAACGTTAAAATAAACAAAAAAATATTGTAAAAATCTCGGCTCGACTATCAAATGCACAGCGCTCTATATGGCCGCAGCACGAATTCACACTCACACCGATTGACGCGCATTCCCCTATAATAGAAAAAAGTGAAACGCACGCAAAGTTTGCACAAACACTCAAATATAGCCACAATTCATATAATGAATTGTTGTTTTGCCTATCGCAGCGTACATTCACCACAGTTTAGGCAGTGCTGAGCTAAGCTTTGTGTGAAAAATAACACAATGCACGAATAAACAGACACAAAATACCAAAAAAAAATTAAAAAAAAAAAATCGGATGCTAACAGTACCGACAGCGATATATCTACGACGTAACGACAACAAAACAATCAGCTATAAAATCGCGTATCCGTGCGATAGACTTTTTCACACCAATGCGCTTAACTAGCGAATGAGATCAAATAGAGCAATTCAAATGACGGCAAGTAGCAGTCATAATGTTCACATGTACATACATACATACATACCTACATACATATATGTAGTAGATGCTTATGTATGTTTGTGCAATCAATATGAGCACGTCTTGTCATAGTGTTTGTATGTAGTTGGTATGGTGGCGGCGCTCGCTAATAGCTTGACAAGTGGCGCACAATAAGCAGGCTGAGGTACACATGTGAATAGGGGAGTGAGCAGGCGGTAAAAATGTGTCAGGGAAGGGAAATAGCCAGATTGCTGGCAATCAATTGGCGCGAATGCAATTAGCAGCTTTGTATGTTAGTATGTATGTATATGCCAGTTGTGCTTATGCACTTAAAGACGAGAGAGTTGCAAAGGCTACTGGCGCCACGTTTTAACGCTCCAGGGAATGAGGAGAGCTGCTGACGGCCGTGCATCCATTGGAGTTGCAACAAAACTTTGTTTTACAGTACTCAATAATAATTGCAACTGTTGCAAATGTGAGAAAAAAACCCATCATGCATACATTCATACATTCATAGAGCGGCATTGCATTGCTTGAGTGCAACATTTTCGTAGCAACTTTTGTTTAGATACATTTGTTCGCACCAAGTCTGGTTAAAGGCATGAGGATATTCCAGTAAGCGGTCGCTAGTGAAGATTAGAGACTTTTCGTGGTGAACATCAATTGTGAGACTATTTGGTAATCTTCGAAAAGGTAACTTATTTGTTAGCTGGTTCTAAGTAGGCCACAAAAAATAACACGATGAAAAAAAATAAGCGAGGAAATTATTGCTTCACACAATTTCATTAAGATCACAATTAAGTGACCCAAAAA